AAGGGTTGATTTGTTTTCTGGGAATAAAGAAAAGTTGCGAAACATAATTTTCTTGCCCATTTGCCATCTACCAACAGGAGAACTGAATTTTAGGAGTGAAGATAACCAGAATGCAGGAAAATTAGTGGAGGCAAAAAGCATTTGCTACTTCGCACAAGGGGTCTTGCATTCAGTCCCATTAATTCATCCCTAGATACACCTGTTCTTCAGTTCACTTTTGCATCTTGTGACTGCTTTGGGGGCCTAATTTGCTTTGATTTTGGGAGAAGCTTCAGGTTTTTTTTAACAATGGATTAATTACTCCTTCCAGGAGATAGCTTGTTTTTTGAACAATGGATTAATTACTCCTTCCAGGAGATTCTACACTTCCCTTACTGCCTTTTATTTATTCCTTGCAACACCAGCAACTTCACTTTGTTTTCAATTTTTCCTTTTGGTTTTCCCTGGAGTAACTTTCCTACACACTTTTATTTATTCCTTGCAACGACACCAGCAACTTCACTACTTTGTTTTCAATTTTTCCTTCTGGTTTTCCCTGGAGTAACTTTCCTACACATGACCAGGGCTTCAGGAACCTTCTCGTTGGAATAGGTAACAATATGGTTATGCTCTTTGCCCAATGAGCCAAATAAAGAACCTCGTTTTCTGCAAGGGGCCATTCTTCCTTCTGGCTGCCCTCAACAAGAACATGAGATGTAATGGATCACATTAACGGTCCAAGGGAGGAGTAGAAGCTTAACGCATCATGTATTCTGACCACAATTCCTTGTACCACCGGCCACGCTTGGCAGTTGGCTGCGAAATGAAATCTGAAACCACCAGCGGGACTGAACTTCCTTTCCAAGCCTGTGTTTTCTTTCCCAATGGCCATCAGCCAAGTACTTCTCTCACCATCTAGTATCCAGAAGCATGCTGTTCCTGTCACTGGAGTATCCATTCACTTTAATAGCCAGCGAAAGCCAAACTCTTCCACTACGTTGGCCCAATATCTATTTAAGCTGTACGAATTCGTGGCTGCCAATACATCTTGTACCAAGGAATATCACATTTAACTATATTCTATGTGAAGTTCCTGTTTACATTGGCCAAGAATCCATCACAATTTAGCTTCTCTACATGATCTGATATTAAAATTCAGACCTACTCTGCCTGCCCCATGAACTATTTAATGGCTGTTATACCTTTTCCTGTTCACCTTCTGTCTAAAATCTTAATTTTGATGGCCCTGATCTGCATTTCACAGCTGTACGAAAATTATACACAAGCCTAGGTCTATACACATCAACATCCCCCAGAGCAGATCTTGAGGGGAACATGGACAACTAGGATAACCAAGCTTATTCCACCCAGTGGTTCAGATACCGCATACTAATCACTGGAATACAGGAGGAGAAACACTCAAGGTTTTAAAATATGTGACCAATAATTAATGAGTATTGCTCTACCTTTCTACAAGATTATATTTCTGTTTACTCCTAACAACAGTGCTGTGATTTTTGTAAACCCTTTTTTTTGGGACACAGTACTTGGTGGAAGGCGAAGATACAGAAGGCCAGCTCCAGAGACATGCTTGATGAAGTTCACTTCCTGAAAAGAAACGAGGGCTAACCATTAGGCACACTGACATGCACAGTGGGAGAGGTCTTATCTTCTCAAAGCTGCAGAACGTTCCAACGAGGTTTTGCACACCCAACGCTGTGACTCAGAAACCACGACGAAGAACCCGGCAATACCAAGAATTTCAGCAGACTTTGTCCATGTGCACGTTTGCCTTTTCATTTGGAAGCTTTAAATTTTTTCCATCTCCATCGCTCTCCTAAGGAGCAAGATCTAGGAAGCTGTATGGCCAGCTCTGACTGGCAGCCACAGCTCCCAGACAGGATTCTTTCCTATGTCTGCCTAGTGATTCCTGGTGGTCAGCAGTCCCGACACTGCTCAGTTTCTGAAACCAGGGGACATAAACCAGAAAATAGCAAGGGAGGAAGCCCTCTGGAACACATAGATTTACCCTTGACTCACTAACCCACCACTGACAGCAGAAACTGAATCACCAGGATTGTTTCGGACACAGAGGAAGCGAAGATGTGCCAACAGGCAGAAGAGCTCCAACACAAAGGATGGAAGCCTCAAGCAGATACCCATTTTGCTGCCTTCTTGTTCCAATAGGGGAGGGCCACAGCACAGGGAACCCACAGAAAAGCAATACTGGGTACAATAATAGCATTGAGTCCCATCTGGCAGAACACGACTCCTTGCAAGCCTCAAGACATGGCAGCAGCAGCAGCACCTTGGAACTGACAAATACCCTAAATTTTGGAGGACAGCTGGTGCATCCTCCAAAGTTCTGTACCATTTGGTACATGAAACAGAAAGTGTCCAGACTAGATGTTAAACGAGAACCACAAAGCTCCCACTTTCTAATGATGCTTTTACACACACTTCAAGCTTCATTTCCCACTAACTCATAAGACGGGATAAATCTTACTTATCACCTCCCACGCCATCCTCCTCATCCCCAACATGCTTGTCTGCTCAGTCTATGTTTCTTAATAAACCATCCTGAAATGTTTCCAAACATTGTGATCTAAAGTTATCACATTCTTGTGAACAGAGGAAGAGGTGGGATTCCTGATCTAGCCAACCCTGGAAAGCACTCTACAAATCATATTCTGCCAGTTTATGTCCATGCTTTATATGTTTTTGTTCTGCTTTAGATAGAAGAGTGGTAGTTGCTGGAAAGCATATGCCCCCCGCCCCCACCAGCAACAACCCTCTGGCTACAGTTCTGGCTCATCTACAGGATTTGTGGGCCTTCTACATGCTTTTGGACTTTGGCTTCCACAATTCCTCACCATAGGCTAAACCACTGGTTCTTAACCTTGGGTTACTCAGGAGTTTTGGACTGCAACTCCCAGAAGCCTTCACCACCAACTGTGCTGGCTGGGGTTTCTCGGAGTTACAGTTCAAAAACATCCGAGTAACAAAGGTTAAGAACCACTGGGCTAAACCATCCTAGGCCTGATATGAGCTGAACCCCTCCCCTCCCTATACAAACACCTATCAACCAACGGTTCTGCAAACCGTCTGCAGAAGCAATGGTTCGCCAAAAACTTATCCATGTTGCCTCTTTAAGGTCAATGTTTTTGCCTTCCTTCAAGCAAAGCACAGATGCTTCCACTAGGATAATACCGCCTCCCCATATACAGTCGTGCCCCGCTGGACAATTATCCTGCTCTACGACGAATCCGCATTATGTTGACGTTTTTGCAATCTCAAAAGCGATTGCAAAACAATGGTTTAAATGGGGGAATTTCGCTTAGCGATTATCGGTTCCTGCTTCGGGAACCAATTTTTCGCTTTACGACGATCAGCAAACAGCTGATCATCGGGTTTCAAAATGGCCCCCGGCTTTCAAAATGGCCCCCGCTGTTTTCTAGGACGGATTCCTCACTTTACAGGCACTGAAAATGGCCGCCGTATGGAGGATCTTCGCTGGACAGCAAGTTTTTCAGCCCATTGGAATGCATTGAATGGGTTTTCAATGCGTTTCAATGGGATTTTTTCGTTTCGTTTGACGATGTTTTCGCTCTACAGCGATTTCGCTGGAACGAATTAACATTGTCAAGCGAAGCACAACTGTAGGTCCTTATTGACCATCCATCAGGACTGGGGCAGACAGCTTGGCACTCTCAGATTACATCTCCTATCAGCCCGAGGCAGCATGGCCATCAGTCAGGGATTTCGAATGCGTCAGCCTGAAACAAGATCTGCTCAAGTTGGAATTTGTTGTGGCAACAACCCACCCTCCCAGCAAGTCAAATTTCATTTTCCCCCCCACCAAAAAAAACAAACCCACAAGCAGCCACGTAAAAAATGTCTTGCAGGCCTGATCACCCAACTCAAGATACATCTGTGCTGCAACCCCCCCCCCCAAAAAAAATGTTCTCCTTACAATGTTCCCTTCTTAGGACCTTGGGATTTAGGCTCAAAATAAAACCCGTTGCCTTTTCAAAGGCTCAGCAAAAGCGTCCCCAATTGGGCATCAATGGAGGGCATCACTCTAAGATGACAGAGACCTTCTTAGACAGCCGCCACCGGGCGCAGGGCCCCCTAGTCTCTCTTCCTGACCGACCTGCCAGGATGAGATTGCTTGGGATGTGACAGCACCCACACGTCACTTTTATTTAGCAATGTTTTCTCTTTTTTTATTTCCAGTTTACGGTGAAAAGATGCTCTTTTTTTCTCTCGAATCTTCAATTAAATACTCCATAAAGAAAAGAAAAAAAATAAAGAAGAAAAAAAATATTTACAATTTCATGTGACCGGTAATTGAATCCTCGTTTCATATTTTGTTTGTGGTTTCTTGCTTGTTTTCTTTTTTAATTACAAGCGCAGCTCCTAGAACCATCCCGCGCAGATGCAAGTGGATCGCACAACTGTGGCTTTCAGGTGGGCATGGGGGGGAGGGAGCAAGCGTGTGGGGCGAGGCAGGCCTTAGGGAGCCTACGCGGCACCAGAAGCGATCGCCCCATCCATAGGTAGGGCCAGTGAAAACTCCCACAACTCCCAAGCAAGGTGTGGATGTTTCAAAGGATTCCCCTTTTCCTTGGAAATAAAATAAAATAAAATAAACCCCAACCATTACGTCAAGAGGTTTCGTGTAATTCCAAGGCGCTGATCCAAGGACGTGGGGTGGAGGTGCAGGAGGAGGGGCAGATCAATGTTTGGGGACAGCACAGTCCTATCCTCTCAAACCTCAAAAGATTTAATAAGTCTATATTTATATTTTATATATATATTTATATAATCTCTCTATATTTCAGCAATAAGTGGGTGGGGGGAAAGAGGGGGGGAGCTCCCCATTTGCCCCCCTTCCCATACGACAAGTGTTTGGGTGCTTTGCACCTGTAAAGAGTTTGGGCCCCCCGCTCAATAAAATCATCCAGGTTCCCGGGGCGTTGACCTGGGGGCTGAGCGGAGTGCCCACAGCAACACCTACCTCCTTCAGCATCAATTTATTATCGTCAGACACAAACCAATACAGGCTGTTTAAACGGAAAAAAAAATGAAAACAAAAGAAAAGGAAAAAAAACCCAACCAAAAAGAAAAGGAGAAAAAAAAAAGTCTGGAGGGGAGGTATGGAGAGCAGTACTCGAGTCCTGTATATCCTTTCCCACACCGCCCCCCCTGCAAGGGAGTCCAAAGCTCCAGGGAAGGGTCAGAGCAGCGAGCAGCTGAAGCCTCCCCTTTCTCCCAAACGTTTAAGGGGTTCAGTTGTTGTCGGATTCGTCCTCAGCTTCACGCAACCAAGTGTAGAACGCAGTGACGGACTTGAGCGCAACGCCCTTTCCTTGTTGCTCAGCTGGGTCTTTACTGGACTCCCACTTGTAGAAGGCTTCCTCTTTAATCACGTCCTCATCGTACAAGGCATCAAAGAACATGCGGAGGAGATCTGGGGAGGCAGGGAAAAGAGAGAGAGAGAAAGAGAGAGAAACATGTCAAACTCGGAAAATTCTACACTCCCCTGCATTATCTCTCTCTCTCACCTGCAAAGACACTGACTAGAGATGGGCATGAACCGCAGGTTGGGGGCCAACCCTGACTTCCCTTTGCTCTGCCTCCTCTGGTGGGCTCCCACTTAGAAGCAGCACCTCCCAGAGGAGGCAGGGATGGGAAATCATGCCACCGTCTCTGAGTGGGTGCCCACCAGAGGAGGCGGAGCAAAAGGAAGCCAGGGTGGCCGCAGAACAGCTGTGCAGCCAACCTGCCGAACCACAGTTTGTGCCTAATCCTACAACTGACTTGTGGGAAACAACAGACTTTGTTGGAAGCCCTTATGGGCCAAGAGAGAGAGAGCAACAAGTGGAGACCTTGGGGAGGAGACATCAATCAGACTTCAATTCCTTAGGCTAAATTCAATGGTTGCATTCTAACAACAGCTGACGTGCCCACATGAGTGCTGACTTATCAAATCCCACTGATTCAATGTGCCAAACATTAAGAGTTGGCACAAGTGGGCTTAGCTCAGAACAGCCACTGGATTCAGGGAAGGGTATTCCAAAAGTACCCTCTCCAAACTGTGGGCATGTTCGCCAGGGCCTTTTCAAATGGTCTGAGTATAAAGGGAGATGCTGCACTTCAGCAATAGAGAAGGTCCCGAGTTCAATCCTCACCATGTACAGGAAGAACTGGGAAAACTGCCCCCCAACTCTAGACAGCCCCCGGCCAGTCAGTGTGAACAAGACAGGACTAGACAGAGGTAGGCTCTGACTCAGTATAAAGCCCCTTCCAACATTCCTGATATTTAAAAGCCGGGTTTTTTTAAAAAAAATACAGAAGAAATCTATTATCATAACATCGCTCCACAATTTTTGTCAAGGGCCAGATCAAGAAAAATTCTGTTCTCCAGACGTTATTCAGCTATAACCATGCCTGAAAAACTGCTATCCAGGGCTCCCTCTGTCGGCTCCTTACTGACCTCTACCATGACCACTTTAGAAACGTGTGTCCAAATCTTAGTTTTACAAACAGGAGCACACGGCACAGGCATTATAATAGTAGCCGTTTAGAATATCGACAACCTAGCACGGATGAGAACCCTTGCAGACCCCCAGCTCTGTGGAGGCGGTACTTGAACCCCATCTCAAATTTCGGCAACGCGCAAGGCAGGAACTTATTGCCTCTCGGGACCTCTGGGTCCACTGCCTAGAACTCACTTGCTGGCTGGTCCAGCTTCACCACAAGGGCCTGCAAAGCGTAGAGAGCCTGGAGCTCTTTGCTTTCATCGCTCAGGTATTTCTGCAGCAGCTTGGCTCGGCTTTTGATGACGGCACTCTCCATCCGGTACGGATTCTCGACTACAGCGGCGGGAAGAGGAGACAAGGAAAAGCAGGATGTAGGTGAATAAACACCATTCGTCACAAGCCCAACGAACTGCAGGCCGTCTTTGGAACCCTGCATGTTTCCATGAATTCCGCTTTCCCCCCCCAAAAAAGCGTTAACTATGAACGTCATTTGGCTTCTAGTTAATTTGCACTGTTGCAGCCAGATTTTCTTGAAGGTCAGGGAGAGAACTTACAGGCAAACTAAGTTATAGTCTCCATTGATGTGTGTGGTGGCCATTTCCTGTACACCACATAAGCACACCCAGAGAGCCACTGTGCTGTAACACATAGAACAGTGGATTTCCAAAGCAAAGGCCTGGATTCAAGTCCCTCCTTCACCATCATGTTCACTTGGCATGAGGCAATAAAGCAATCCACCCCAGGATTAGGCCTCCTTCTGTCTTGAGAGATGATGGTCACGTGCTCTGAATGGAGGTCTTGGAATAGCGTCTAGTGTGGCTGAGGAGGCCAATTCGAGAGTGGCAGTCCCTTCCACAAATTCAATCTGTCCCGTCCAGCTCCCTGATTTGGCTCATTTTATGACGGCCTCTTTGCCTCGGCCTGCTGTTTTATGACGGCCTCTTTGCCTCGGCCTGCTGGACAAGTGCCTCTTCAAATTGGGAGAGGCCGTGCTGCAATCCCAGGATGGGTCTGTGAAAACTCCAGAGCCAAGATTTGCTGACAGCCTGACCCTGATCGTGGGGGTTTAGGGTTTGATGGGTCCCGCTTCTCATTAGCCTGGCTTAACAGAAGATAAACAATTCAGCGGGAGGAGATCCCACAATGCACCTCTCTCACCAGGGCTATCAAATACCCCCAACCACTCAAGCACCCCGAAATGGGCAAAGACTTACAGACTACAGCTGAATGGCACACCGACGTCATCAGGGCCCTGACAAACAGATGAGATGAGATTTGCGGTTCACTCAGGTTTGCCTGGTGGAAGAGAAGCAGGCAGGATCAGTGGGAGAGAAACATGTCCCCAGCTAGCTTAAGCAAAAAGGGAGAGTATGCAAGGAGTGCCCAGAACCCCACCTTACTAAGGATCCTGTGAGACTTGTCCTCCTGGACTGACTTAGAAAGCTTCTTCCACTGGCTGGCTGAGGTGCCAGGAAGGCTTTCTAGGTTGGGAGCAGCGCTCTGATTCCACCCACACACACATTGATGATTCACCCACCAACTGAGTAGAGAAGAGGACAGTGGAATCTCTTCCCTGAGCAAATGGCTTAAGACACAGGGTAGAACTTCCCCAAGAATATCCCACAATTGGTTTAGCATGAGGTCACAGAGAGACTGCTGCTGAGCCAGACTATAAATCTTCTGCACCAGACCACTCTGGCTGAGAGATGGGACTGTTCTCCACTCAGGAGAAACACAACAGCTATAGCCAGTTCCAGGAAGCTCCACCTTCTAGGTAACAAACCCTGATGTTCCTGGTTCTGGGACTCTTGTACTACCAGGAAGCAAAAGGGCGGCCCCAGCACCCAGAGGCAACTGTGGTCTGAATGCAAGATGTAATCCTAGGCAGAGAGGATTTACTGAATCAGTGCAAGTCACCTAGGGGTTAACTCTCTATTAAGAAACTGATTCAACAGGTCCAACTAAGTTTAAGGCACTGCAATCATCTGTCCAACACACTGACCTAGAGAACAGCTCCCTTGCTGAAGGATTCCTAGAGACAAGGTGCTTTAAAGCACGTGGATCGTGTCTATCTTTTTATTTATTTTATTTATTTATTTTATTTATATCCTGTCTATCTGGTCAGTTAAGACCATTCTAGGCGGCTTACAGATACATCTGAAAGGCTGATTTAGATAAGGGGAAGGATGAATTCTTGAGACTTCCCTGGGACTACCAGCGATCTTCCGTAGCTCCTAGCAGGGGGACAGTAAGAAAAGGGGTGGTTGTGTTTTTTGCAAGAATGTGACCCTCCTCCCATTGACATCTTTAGCTGTGACAGCCCCATCTCGGATGCCTTCTGCTTCCCCACTGCTCCCCTCCCCCCAACTGGCCAGATGGCTCACCTCTATCCAGTCATATATTCTTTGGTGATTTGCATTCTCTTTCAATAGCTTGTCTAACTGCTTGCACAGCTCTTCAGAGGTGAGCTCTTTGCGGCTGGGGGCATCTGAGCTGTCACCCATCGTGTACTCCACTTTCTGAAAATGAAAACAAGAGCTGGGATGACCACGAGCCAAAAAAAAAAAAAAGCAATGGAAATCGTACACAACAACGCTCGTATTTACTTGAAATGGACATCCCAACATCTGCTGTGGCAGCCCTTGCAGCCAAAGTGTGTCACTCTTGGATGTTTTGGTTTTAAAACCCCAGATCTCCCTCCAAAGCTCTCACATACACACACCCACACCCACACACCCTGCTTACCTGCTCTGTGATGAACTTATTGATGTCCTGATCTTCCGGCAGGAACTCCTTCCAGCTAAGGCCCCCTTCTCTCCAAAGCGTCCCCGCCTTCTTGTGGCTCTACACAGAACAGGGGACATGTTAAGGCCGTTTCACAAAAGACACCCACAAAACCACTTTGCCACCAACTAATTCTCTATATGCTGAACAGAGAACCCATAGCCCATGTGACAAAGGAGCAGGTCCAGATGAACTTGAAAGGAGACTCCACAAGGACAGGGAGCTCCTGGGAATCTCCACCCTTTTGTTTTCCCCTTTGAGACAACTGAGAGAGAGGAGCACAAACCAGTTCATCCCAGTTTGTAAAGGTGGCAGAACAGGGGCTGCTGCTGCTGCTCCACTGCCTCCTCTGGTTCAACCAGCCACTCGCCAGGCCCAGCGTGCCAGCTTCCAGCACCTCCTCAACTGATGATCTTCCGGTCCCGGCAGCAGCTCAGGCTTCTCTGCCCCGCCCTCTTGGCTGATCTGCCACTCAGACAAAAGGGCGGGGCAGAGAAGTCCGTGCTCTTGCTCGTGATTGGGAGATCAGCTCAGGAGGTGGGAAAAGCAAGCAAGCTGGCCTGCGAGTGGCTGAGGAAGTGGTGGGAGAGGAGCAGCAGCACCTGTGCTGCCGCCTTTAACAACAGGGACGAACTGAGACGAACCGGTTCGTGCCCATCTCTATCAGAGACAACTACTCCAGCCCACAACCTGGAGGGCAGCAGACAGTATTAGCCAGCTTTTATATTTCAAAACAGCAAATGAGCCAAATATCACAAGGCACATAGAGATATTGGGACAGGGAAGCGCTCCAGGGGGTGCGGCGGGCACAACCGCCACCCTACTATCTTTCCCTAACCAATCCCTACCAGAGGCACCCCTTCAAGCAGAAGGACTCTTGGCAGGGAGAGTGACTTACCATCCCTTTACAAAGCAGGCCAAGGATCTCCAGCAGCAGAGTCGTCGCCTTGCCAATCGGCACCAAAGGCTTGGCAATCTCCCTAAAAGAAGCACAAAGGGCAGGCAAGTCATACACCGGAAACAAAGCCACAAGAGGAGGAGGAGGACAGAGAAAGGAGGCCAGCTCACCGGAACAGCTCCTCCATGGGGATACCCCCTTCTCTCAGGATAGGCGTGATGATCTCTGCCAGGTAGAGCCATATGTGTGGAATATCAATCTCCATGTCCTCCCCAATCTCCAGGATCTCATTAAGCCTGTGTGTAGAAAAAGGAAACGGTGTTCTAAACTTCAAGACAGCAATGCTAGCTCAACAGCTCCTGGGCCTACAGGGACAGGACAATGGCCATGGAAACAGCTTTCCCAAAACCTGCCAGATGCCACCCCTCTGTGTATGTGTCCATTACCCCTTGTAGTACTGTTCCTTGGAGAGAGAGCCTCCCTTGACCAACTGGTAGAGCAGCAGCCCCATGTGTTCGCGAGCGATGGTGCTTCGCTCCAACGTGGACTCGATGCCGTTCCGCACGAAAATGTAGAGCTGGGAGGGACAGTTCAGCTCCTGCACACACTGGAGGGCCTCCTGCAAGAAGCGGGCAGAGAGGAAGGACACTCAGCACAGACTTCATAGGAAAAGTACCCCCTGAAAGCAGGCAAGCTGCGACCTAAGTCGCGGCCTTGGTAACACAGGGAGGCTCAAAGTGGTCCCTGGTCTCCTTGCAAGATTGCCATGTCAATGACAAGGCCTTTAAAGTCATCTGTCTCTTTACCACACCCCTGTCGTACCTGGTCCCCAGCCCCATCCTGCTCCTAAGCATCTTATTGTGGGGTTTTGGGCTAAGGGGCAGGCCAGGCTGAAAGAGAGCAATTCTGGCCGACCCAAGATTTTTCAATAAACTGTTGAACCTGAGGGTTCAAGCGAAAACTTTTGATCCGTGGGGTTGAGAGTCAAGGAAACATAGACCCATCTCCAAGGCAGATTCGTGGGCCTTTATCCTCTATCTGTGGGACGAGTCAATGCGTCCATCTACACACACGGACACACACAGAGCCTGCCTAAGAATCACAGAAATCCCAAGCATTCTCAGGAATAGGGCTTGAAAACAGCTATATTAAATGGATGGAAAGATCCACTGGGTTCTTTAATCTGCAAGCAGCCTTACGATGTTAATATAAAGCATTGTCCTCTCGTTATCTCAAAGCAAGTTAATGGGAGTTGTCAGCTACTCTTCTGCATTCCCAAACCGGACCCTCTTCCACTGCAACCCAAAGGCCCTTCTCACGCCATGTTCCCCTAGCCCCCACGCCCCTCCCTGGTGCTTTCTCCCATCAAGGGCAGCATCTCGTCAGGCGGCAACCACAAATAGCACATTGGCCCCCCCAAACCATGAAAACATCTTTCTTTCCCTGCATTACTGCTCACTGGCACAAACCTTCATGTCGTTGATGTGTAGGTATTCCTCAATGATCGCCTTGGCTTTCTTCTCCAGCTCCTCTTCTGACAAGGCGGGCTTGGCCGGTGCCTCGGGGGGCGCCATCTCACGCTTTGCTGCACGGAGGTGAGCAGGGAGGCATTAGTGCTGTTCCCAGACCCCCAGGAAAAAGGGAAAACAGGAAGAGGAGGTGCCCTGTCCCACCGCTTACCGGGCTCCCTGCTTCGGTCCCGCTCCTCCGTCATGCTGGCTACTTTCCGCACCGTCTCGAGGACGCCCTGCCGCTCCCTCTCCCGCTCCCGGCTCCTGTCGTCCATCTCCTTGCTGAAGCTGCGCTTGGTGATGGGGGTCCGGTTCCTATCCGACCGATCCAGCCGCTCCGCCCGCTCGAGGCGCTCCCCTCTCTCCAGCCGGTCGCGCTCTAAGCGGTCGCCTCGCTCGCTGCCCTTTTCGGAGCGGTCGCGGCTGCTGCTACTTCTGCAACAAGACCACGGCGGTTAGTGACAAGACACCATGGGGGGGGCGGGCGCAAGAAGAAGCTCCAGCGTCCCCACCCCCAGCCCCGATAGCAGTAGAAATGACGAGAATGAGCCAACTGGGTGGTAACGAAGCTTACACATTCTGCTTTTATTTTCACCCTGCCCCGGAGCAGGGTGAATTTGATTTCAATCAAATTAATTTAAATTTTTACATTTTATTTTTTTAATTAAGCTGTGATTTAAATCAATTTGATTCTCTCTGACAGCATTCTGACTTTAAGCTAGCTGTTGCCTTGTTAACATTCTTCGCCAGATTGCCTTGCACTTGTAAGACAAACATAATGACTGCATTTCAGTCACTCAGGAAACTTTTGTGAAAACTCAATTTTCTTTTACATTTCCAACCAAGGCAGTGGGAAGTGAGCAGCATTTAGTTCAATGGCGTTTTTAGGTTTGCTTTGGGAGCACATTAATCATCTCAGAACTGCAGAGCTGGAAAAGACCCTATGGATCATTGACTTCAGCCCCCCACTAAAGAGGCACCGGGGGGGAGGGAATCGAACTCCCCATATCTGGCTCCATGGCCAGATAACTAAACCCAGGTGATTATGTGCTGGACTGAAGACAAGACGATCCTAATAAATCAGGTATTGTACTTTGGTACTGCTGCTCTCTAGCGGGCAAGGTACGTGACAAGTCCTGTTTTCTATAATTGGCCTCCACGCCAGCTTTAATATGGACAGTTTCGTTTCAACCAAACCTTATTCCAAGCTCAGAGTAACAACAGATCTTTCCTTTTGCTGCCAGACAAAATTTTACTAGTGCTGACCCCGTTACTTTCTTATGCTGAAAGCATGGGTTCCAGTCCAGAGCTGTGGTCCCTCCCCTAAGGCCAGTCAGGATATGGCAAAGCAGTTTAAAGAGAGACCATGGATAAGGACACTGGGCAGAGGTTCCCACGCGGGGAGCCCCAGATTCTGCTGGACTCTAATAATCCCTAACCTTAGCAAATGGTTAGGGATTCAGTGAGAAGTCCAATAGCACCTGATCAGTGAGAAGTCCAATAGCACCTGACCTCTGAGTTTGGGAACCCATGCTGCACAGCAACAAGGCAGGGTTCTAGAGCACTGCATGATTCCAAGTCAAAAAGCAACTCAGTGCATGCATGCAGTTTATGAACACTTCGGCCCTTGTTGCACCTTATCATCATGACGCCGGGTTATTTCGTGTTTCACATAAAGTGGAGAAAGGAGGCCAAAGGCCACAACCAGACCAAAGTCACCCGAAGAAAAGAGACAGATTTCATAGTGTCTTTTCTTCCAGACATAAGGTTAAGATCTTTTTACAAGCCACTTCCGGTATTCCTAGTCAACATTCAACTCACACCATATTCCACCATCAGTCATGCATGCTGAAAGCACCTCATCAAACACATGGCCTTCCGTTTCCTGAAGGAAATTCACTTATTCACAATAAGTGAATGCCATGAGATGCTCAGCACACAGGACGGAACTTAAAGCAGATCTTCTAGTAAGTCTTAGAAGAAAGGGGACTATTATTATTTTTTGTGCTAAGGAAAGCTGAGAAGCAATATTGACCTCTGTACTACTCGCCGTACATCCTGGCTCTCTATAGGAGCTGACTGTTGCAAGGCTGAGTAACGATTCAAGGTGCTCGTGGCTGGTCGACTGGAGTCAGGAACTGCAAAGGAGAAAAAGAAGCAGCAGCAAGATTAGAGGACTAAGGAACTGTGTAAAAAACCATGTGCTTTGCTAACCCTTTATTGTCTCCCCCGCTGCCTTACCTGGTTCTGCAGGTTTGGCCCCTGAACCACCAGTGCTGCCCTTCCCCCAACTCAGCCGTCCACCAGGTGCAAAGAGCTGGCTATTGGTGTCAATTGAACCAGGCTGTAGGGGGCAAGAAAGCAGAATGGAGCCATTAATTGACTGAAAGAAGCAAGCACTAAACCTTCCACCTCAATGTTTAAGCTTTAATTCAGTGTTTCATCTTTGTGAATTCAAGTAACAGCACCTCCATGTATTTTGGAAAGGAATACTGAGTACCGGTATTTTTCCGTGTATAAGACAATGCCATGTATAAGATGCCCCCACTTTTCTAACCCAAAATTAAGAAATCTAAGTGGGGCTTAGCAAGTGTAGGGGGAAATGGATCAAAGTGCTGCAAGATCGCTTTCATCCCTGTTTTCTCCCTTCGTGCTAAACCCCGCGGGACTTAACAAAAGGAGGGGGAAAGAGATCAAAGCAATCCCATGACTGTATGATCGTTTTGATCCCTTTCCCCCTTATACAGCCATGGGATTGCTTTGATTCTTCCCCCCTCCTTTTGCTTATTAACCAGAGGGGAAAGCAAGGATCAAAGCCATCCTGCAGCGCTTTGATCCCTGCTTTCCTTTTGCTAAGGCTTAGCAAGTGCAGGGGAAAACAGGGATCAAAGCCTTGCAGGATCACTTTGATCCCTGCTTTCCCCTCCACTTGTTTTTTTCTCTCCTAAGCTTACTTCCGTGTAGAAGATGACCCTCAATTTTAGTCTAAAGATTTTAGACAAAAGTATAGTCTTATACATGGAAACCAAGAGTATGTGAGATTTGGGGTTTTAGGGTGCAACAACACCAGGACAACACTGTGCCCAAAACTGAAATACAGCAGGACCCCCGTGTGTATCTGTGGGAGATCAGTTCCAAGCCCCTCCCCTTACAGATGCTGAAAAAACACGGATTATAGCAAATGCCATTTTAATAGCAAATGCTATACATTGCATGGGTCTCTGGCTCCTTCTAATGGTCAGTTCTGGTAACATCATGAAATACATGTCTCGGGAAATATTATGTACCGCATGGGTCTCTGGCTCCTTCAGTGGCCAATTCTGGTAACTTCACCTTTCTATATTTCTAGGATTTTCCTGCTGATTCACTTATTAAATATAATACATGTCTCGGGAAATATTATGTACCGCATGGGTCTCTGGCTCCTTCAGTGGCCAATTCTGGTAACTTCACCTTTCTATATTTCTAGGATTTTTCTGCTGATTCACTTATTAAATATTAATATTAAAAATATTAAAATAAATGAATCAGCAGATACTGATCTTGCAAAGAATTCCAAGCATAGACTTGCAAAAGCTAATAATAATAATGGAGAGGGTTGTGCACTGCTTCCAACAGCCAAAATGTGGGAAATGAACACTCAACCTATCTATAACCTGTCACCCATCTATTCATTCATCTTCTACCAACTCAGCAATGCTGTACTAGCTTGTACTCTCCTGCCTTCGTCTGCAACATTTTCATAAACCCCAGCTTCCATGCTTAACACCCCAAACTGCTGAAACATTGTTTTGAAAACTTCAGTTTGGGAAACAGAATTATGCCAAATTGATCAGGAATACTTGTGCCTTCAATCCATGGCTGCAAACCCCAATCTTCAGCACAAAAATTAGGTTTCTGGGTATAATGTCAGTTAACGTCAACACATTCATGGACACGTTACAAAAAATTTTTTGCATGAATCCGGCTTTTCGTTTTTTGCTGATTCAAGGAATCCTACACCAAGCTGTCTACCTCCTATTATAATTGAACATAATTGGACCTTAAGCTAAAAGCAGAAGCCACGGCTGCTTATTATGGAAGAACCTAAATTCACCCCTATCTCCCCACCCATCGCCAACAGTTCCCACCTTGGTGATCTTGGATAACCGGCTGGTGTCGATCGGTCTGTTGCCCTTGCTGATGGGAACGGTGTTCCAGCCGTCATCTGAAACCAAACTCCCTCGCCCACCTGTGGATGGGAGACCCAAATCAAGGTTCACTTTTTTCAAAAGCACAAATCACCCAAGTGCATAAACGTGTGCATGCAAGTGAGAAACATGTACAGTGGTGCCTCGCTTGACGATGTTAATTCGTTTCAGCAAAATCGCTGTAGAGCAAACATCGTAAAGCGAAATAAAAAAACCCACTGAAGTGCATTGAAACCCATTCAATGCGTTCCAATGGGCTAAAAACTCAGAGTCCAGCGAACATCCTCCATAGGGGCGGCCATTTTCGGGTGCCTGTATAGCGAAAAACAGCTCCTAAAAACAGCGGGAAGCCATTTTGTACACCCGGCGGCCATTTTGAAACCTGATGATCAGCTGTTTTTAGGTTGTTGTAATGCAAAATTCGGTTCCCGAGGCAGGGAACCGATCATCATGAAGCGGATTTTTCCCATTTAAACTATCGTTTTGCAATCGCTTTTGCGATCGCAAAAACTTTATCGTCAAGCGATTTCCTCGTTAAGCAAGGCAATTGTTAAGCGAGGCACCGCTGTATCTGCTGTTTCTATTAGAGGAAGAAAGATCACTCTGACACTCTTAACTGCTTGTGTCTGCCTTTAAGGATGCAGGAAGATTTCAGTGGGTCTCTCTGGTCCCGCATCATGCTTTTCAGAGCACTAAACCAGAGGCCTCTGGGAAGGCTGAAAAAGCAAATGCCCTCCCATGAGCCACTCAGATTCATCAGCAAAGTGCTTCTGGATCCAGAGGTAACCTTTAGGCACCACCTCCAATAGCTTTTTACTGACCCATCTTTTCATGGATCTGTCTAAAGAAACTGGGGCTTAAATTAAAAGGATCTACTTTTCAAGAGAGCTGAGTCTGCAGCTACCAACACTCACTTGTGGAAGTGAATTACATAAATTAACAGGCATGGCATCTCTCTCTCTCTCTCTCTCTCTCTCTCTCTCTCTCTCTCTCTCTCTCTCTCTCTCTCTCTCTCTCTCTCTCTCTCTCTCTCTCACACACACACACACACACACACACACAAAGCTACAACTTAATGAGCACAAAACTACTCCCTCTTCTTCGGGGCAGGTGGCACTGACACAGCCACAGTGAATCCCGAAACAAAGGAGGTCTTCTGCTCCCAACTCACCTGTCGATGATGGGCCCGGCGGGCCTCTCCTCTTATCCTGCTTGGACATCAACTGTTGCACTTTGATGTGCTCCCGGTGTTCCTCCATCTCAGCTTCCTTGTGAATCTGGTCAATAGTTTTGGGACCCTGGTCTCCTCTCCTTGGCACCCAGCTGTTCTGCAAGAAGCAAACCAGACAGGAGGAGAGGGGTTACAGTACCCTGAAAGCTTAAGATGCAGTCAGGCCAAGAAGGGAAAAGAGGGAGAAAGAGAATCACTGCCTAGGAGGGTTTGTCTCTGGGTTTCTTCCTTCCAGAACTGACCTCATTTGGCTTCTAAATATATGCATTTCCATCTTTTATCCATTCTCCCCTCACTCCAAGAGTAGGACCAAATTCTACTTCAGGCAGAACTTGCCCACCATCTTCCAGGGGTGAGTAGAGCTGGAGGGTTGGAGTAAAAAAATACCTCCACCTATCAGCTAAAAACTTTACGGCTAGAAACCAAACCTTAGGAGAGGCATTTCAGCCTTGGGGAAAGACCTAAGATAAAGGCTGGGAAACCCCCAAATGGTACCGTACAAAAGGGGGCCGCCTGGGAATGGCCAAATGGAATCCAGGGATGGCTGGATGTGGCCCTGATGTTCCTATGTCTGTTTCAATGACTGTGCATGGCCTTGATTAGGTAACAGGCCATTCTGACAGCAACATGCCTACTTGGAAGCTCTAGAGAGTGGCTGGCAATTTCACACATGGTGGGGCTGGGCGTGGGGGCTGGGCGTGGGGGCTGGAGCTCTCTAGGGACTGCTTGGTGGGTGTCTGTGCAAAGAGACTAGCCAGTTCTTGTTTCTTAACTGCACACGCCCCTCCATAAAGACAAGCCCTTCCCTGCCCACACTAAGGTCAGAGCACAGCCATAGTAGCTGCTGCAGGATAAGGTTGCGTCCCACATTTTACACACCAGTTTCAAAGGACCAGGCCCTTAAGTGGCAAAGGAAGCAGTAGGGCTGAGCACACTGCCTGCCAGGCCTTTTACACACACACACACACACACACACACACACACAAAACCATTGTGAGCAAGCATGTAGCAGCCTTTGGCACAGGAAGATTCAGCACTGGGAGCCTTCTTGCATTAAACACAGCTGCAGGGGCTACTGCCAGCCCATCGCCCAAGCCACGCAAGCCAGGGACAGCAGGCTAGCACACTGTCTAAGGGGCTCACGGAGGAGGAGGCAGTGCTAGCCAGGGCTGATTTCCCATCCCATCACCCAGAGAGTCCTGGGTGCAGAGGGAAGGCAGGTCTTGCACCTTACCAGGCATCAGGCTGGCCCATCCCAAGAAAGGAGCCCGAGGGAAGGGGGCTGTCTCCACCAGCCCAGGGGCCAGAGGGGAGCTACCCTCTGCACCTTACCCGTCTGAGGTCAATCACATCCTGCAGCATGAAACGGATGCGGGAGGACGTCTTCTTCTCCTTGATGATCTTCTCCATTTGGTTGAAGTACTGATCCATTCGAGGCTAGCGGGAGGAAGGGAAGGGGAGAGGAAGGATGAGATCAGCTGAGCGAGGCTGGAGGCAGCCCTGCCGTCCTAAGCACAGCCCTGAGGCTGGAGGGACCAGGCAGGATGGGAACAACCCAGGCAATCCACATAAGGACCTTCATGAGGACCAATCTCATAGTGGAATTCAAGAAAGGCAGCATTAAACTGTCACTTTATCTTGGTAACAGGCCTTTCCGGAGCAAAGGAGACCAGTTCCACATGTGTGCTGTTATACATTTGTACTCTCCCCCCACAAGGCAAGAAGAGGGCCTGAAGAAACCAGTTCACCCCCTGGGTGGAAGAGGCCACGGGGACAATCCCAGAAGCACCGACCATATTCCCAGTTCACACGAGGGTGGCAAAGAAGAGGGAGAGGAGGCAGAAAGCAGCTGTTCTGCAGGCCAGGATAAGCAAAATGTCTCCAGTGGGCGGCATGCAGCCTGCCACAGACCCTAGTGAGGTACTCTATTCAGCACTGGTTAGGCCTCATCTGGAGGACTGTATCCAGTTCTGGACACTGCACTTCAAGAAGGATGGCAACAAATTGGAACAAGTTCAGAGGAGGGCGACAAGGATGATCAGGGGGCTGGAAACCAAGGAAAGACTGAAAGAGCTGGGCATGTTTAGCCTTGAGAAAAGAAGGCTGAGGGGTGATACAATAGCACTTTTTAAATATTTGAAAGGCTATCCTACAGAGGAGGGGCAGGATCTGTTCTCAATCGTCCCAGAGCGCAGGACACGCAACCATGGGCTCAGGTTACAGCAACCACATTTCAGCTGAATGTCAGGAAAAATGTCCTTATTGTTAGAGCAGTACAACAATGGAACCACTGACCTCAGGACGTGGTGAGCGCTCCCACTACTGGAGGTACTCAAGAGAAAATTGGACCACTATTTGTCAGATCTGCTTTGATTTGGATTCCTGCACTGGGCAGGAGGGCTGCGCCCAATGGCCGATAAGGTCAATTATTCTATAATATTAGTACCACCACCCCTTTTCACATTTTACATCTAAAACAGACCAGGGACAAAACAGCCATTCCATGTCAAACACAGGGCTCTCTGGGTGGGGACTGTTTTCAAACGCCAACTGTTTTACAGGAAGGGCCTTTTGGGGTTTTTAAAAAAATGGGACAGAGGAGGCCTACCCAGATCCAAGAGAGAGTAAAAAACCACCACTACCCAGATCCTTTGAATTACTCCTGATATAGGTTGGGATTTATAGTCCCTTGGCTACCAAAACTTCATTCCTGAACGTTGACTCTTCCAGAGGGACATCTGAGAACTCTCGCACCCAGGGGAATGAGCCCCCTTTCGCTCCTTGGCCCACGAAAGAAGTACCTTGGCTTTTTCAAAGTCCAGGTCCTTGCCGATGGTGGTGAGCAAACGACACAAGCATTCCAGGGATTCGTCGTCATGGTTCTTGAGCAGCTTCACCACACAGTCGTGCATGATGGCTTCGGTCAACATCTTCAGCTTGAAAAGCTCCCCGATGAACTTGATGTTGCCCAGAGAACGCCTCCGCGCTTTGTCCCGGGCGTCGTCCAGCTCCTCTTTTAGACGGGCTCTCTCCTCAGGCTACGAGAAAAAACAAGGGAGTGAAGAGAGGTATTTAATCTGGAATCCACTTAAGAGCAGAGACTGGGAGCCGTCCTTCCAATAACCGTTGCAGTGGTGGCAAGAGCGACAATAGCAACAGGCTTCCTGTTACTTCAGGCTCAATTTTTTTTTCCTCCAAAAAGTTTAAATGGCCCGTTTTAACAGCTATCCTCTCTTCTCTTCCACATTCAGCTTCTTAAGATTCTTGTGAAATTAGCTACAGTGAGAAACACTTGGGCAAGGTGGATAAAAATCAACATTTTTTATAAAAAAAATCAAATTGATTTAAACTGCGATTTAAATAAAAATCACAATCAAAACTAATTAAAACTGCTTATTAAAGTGTCAAAAAGTATCCGTTTTAAAAAATTTAAATCATGATTTAAATCCAAACTCCTTATTAAAGTGTCAAAAGTATCCATTTTTAAAAAATTTAATTCATGATTTAAATCAATCTTATTTAAATCAAATCCCCCCCTGGTTCTGGGGACCCACTGAGTTATGCGTCTGCCCGTGAGTTTTGAACCTGGGCACCCCTGTTCCCACTCTAAGGTTCTAACCCCCACCTCCAATAGGTTGGGGGCTGGGCTTTCCCCACCTTGCCCTTCAGCCCCTCCCCTTTCCCCAACCAATCACAGAGTCTAAAACACTTGCTACTGTGCCCTCCCTAGGCAATTATGGAAGATAAGGGTCTTTCCAATACTCCCAGTACATTTCCTTGGACCAGAAGCCCAAGGGTTTGAGGCCCTAAGGGTTCAAAGCGCCACTCACGCCCGCTGTGTCGTCCATCTCCTTCTGCTTCTTCTCAAAGATCTCATCGTCGTCCTTGTCCTTCTCAAATTCCTTCTGGCATCTGTTCAGGAGTACCTTGCGGAAGTTGACCATCACCGTCGGTTTATCAGTCGTGGGGACTTTCAGCTAGAGAAGGGGACAGGCCAGAAACCACCATGAGAAGAGAGTCTACACAGCTTCTCCTCTGACCAAGGCCCCAAACTCTGGATTTCCAACTATGCTCGTAACACCCACGATCCTTTTCTGTTCCTCTATGGTCCAAATAAACTGCAGTGTTGCCACAAAGGACAGACTAAGACTTGTTAACATAGATCAGGGTGGCTGGGCAAGTTTCCCCAAAACAACAAGGGCGTTTATAACAAAGAACATTCTGGATCCCATGACGGCTGAGAAATTTCTGAAAACTGGGTAGCAGTTTCTGTGGGAAAAGAGTGGAGAGAGAGGGGGAGCCTGGAGGATGAGAACATAATTTGTTGCAATGTGCAGCCCTTTCTCAATAAAAATGGGTGCTTTAAAGATTGTTCCTTGCTCCGGGCCACCTGTCTCTCCCACCATGGTCCTCATCATTGTCATTGTCATCATCGTCGTCATCATCATCGTCGTCGTCATCCCCTTCTTTATCCTTAAAAAGAACCCAATGCAGCTTACATAATTAAAAATATTTAAAAGCTAAAAACCACATGTATACAAGTACAGTGGTAACTCACTAGACAATGACCCTGCTGTACGATGAATCTGCAGGACAGTGATCTTTTTTGCAATCGCTAATAGCGATCGCAAAACAATGTTTCCTATGGGGGATTTTCGCTTGACGTTGATTAGGTCCGTGCTTCGCGAACCGTCTGTTCACAAGACAACGATGTTTTCTGGCTCCGCAAAATGGCTGCCCTGTGTTTTCCAGACCCATGCTTCGCAGGGCAGCCATTTGAACAGCTGATCGGCGCTCAGAAAATGGCTTCCCCTATGGGCGATATTCGCTGGACGACGAGGTAATTTCCTCATTGGAATGCATTAAATGGGTTTCAATGCATTCCAATGGGGAAACTGTTTTTGCTGGACGATGTTTTTGCTTAACAGTGACTTCAGGGGAACAGATTATCGTCGTGGTGCGGGGCACCACTGTATTTAAAAAGAATTAAACAAGTATGTTAACGACACTAATAAAATCAATACTAAAACACATTCAAAACAGCAGAGCACAACAACTGCTTTAAAAAAAAACCTCTTAGACCACCAGTGATTAAGGGAAAGGCTGGCTGAAGAGAAACATACACTAAGAAAATTCCACAGGGAAATACACAAGAACCAAAGCACCTTTTCCTATAGCTGCTACCAATCTGTTTCTTACAGCGACTAAAGGATTCAGCACTAAACTAATTCCTCAGCTGGTGCTGGGAATTAATTGATGTGCCTTTGCACACAGGCCAGGCAACAGGCCTGATGAGAGGATGGTAACAATCCAAATGGGAGTTAGTGCAAGATCCACTCATGGCAGAGAAAAGAACGAATCCAATCTTGGCAATAGAAAGCCCTACATCCTTGACTCAGGTGACTACTCTAGGATCTAAGGGGAGATCGTTCTCATGCAGAATTAGTTTGCAGGCCCACTGCCTCCAGAGGCGATCAGGCCATAATGCCTACACATAGAGGGAGGAAAGAGGCTCGCCAATGGAAGCCACGGCCAGGAAGGAATGTAATTTCCACGCTGCTCCTAATCTTGGGGAGGATCCAAGGTCTTTTTTGCGCCCCAGAGAGGGAGAGCTGCCACGCCTGCCACTGAGATCCTGGGAGCACTCACCCCCATAAGGCAACGGCACATGTTGGCATAGGCAACAGAGAAATTTGGCTCGGAGATGGCCTTTTCAAAGATGAGGTCAATGACACCCTTAAGCCGCTCCTCGGTGTCGATGGACAGCTCTGTGACCTGCTTCATCAGCTGCTGGAACATCTGTGGCGTCAGCTTGTTCAGAATGCTGCGCACACGCCGGAACAGCTCCTGCGGGAAGGAGACAGGAACACCCTTTTTAGTCCACTGTGTATGTAAACAAACACACACAGAGAGAGAGAGAGAGAGACAGAAAGAGAGAGATGTGTGCATGAATCTTGCACAGCTCCAAAAAGCCACATGAGAATGGCAAGCTCTGCCCACAGCAGTGTTTGTTACAATGAACCTGTCAGACAAGAGGTGGAAGGGAAATTGAGTGATGGAAGGAGTGACTCTTCTACCTGCAAGGAGTCAGAGCAGCCACTTGCCTCTTTCTTTAAGGCAGGCACAGAAAGCAGGGCAGGAACATCCCAAAAATATCACTGCTAAGACGAAGGAGTTGGTGAGTCAAAATACAGGCCTCTGAATGACAGCTAGACACCCACTATCTGCTGCAGTTCAGCATCAAAGCAGCCAGTAACATATTTATTCAAAAAAATAAAATAACACATGGTAGATAATTAATCAGAAAAGGAAAATAATTTCTCTCCCCCCCCCAACCTCTGTGTTTTATACACTGCTTCGCATGGGGAACAGCTGACCTCTTCCCTTCGGCCACAGAAATATGGTGGCTGCTGAGGCGGGCAGGGTTATCTGGGAAAGCCCAGAGAGACAAGTTGGGTCTCCCAGGCAGTCCAGGTCTAGCCCCAAAGCATAAGGGTTTCCTGCTTTAAAAGAAGCCAGGCTTTTCCCTGCACATTCCGTTGGCACACCCACAACAACAATCCTTCTGCCAGGGCAGGACGATGCAATTCCTAAGAGTTCTGTGGGCACGGCAGCTGCCTCATCCCCGCCCCAGAGGTATCCAGCCCTAGATTAGCAAAAATGGGATCTTATTCAAATGACTCAAAAGAAAAAAAAAGAGAGACAACACAATCACCAAACATTTATATGAACTGCATGCATACTTACTTGTTTTGTGATCTATCTGGAACCCACTACAGTTAATTAGGACCTTCTCCAAATTAAAACCATGGCTAAAAACAGATGTGAAAATAGAATGGTCGCAACCTAGTCACTCTGGTTACAGTTCAGTTTCAATGCAGACAAACACTATTGTTTACAGCAGTACTGATCATAGAGATTTTTTGTTCCAATTATCTTTGTCTAATTATCTTTACGTTATAGCTGGGCAGAAGAAGAGGAGGTAAAATACAGTTTGGGTGTGAAAGCTAGACAATTAAGAAGGCTGACGGGAAAAAAATAATTTGCTTGAATTGTGCTGGAGGAGAGCTTTGTGGTTGTCCTGGACTGCCAGAAAGACAAACAAATATTAAGCCTGAAATATCTCTGGAGGCAAAAACACTGGAACCGAGGCTGTACCTTGGGGACATCATGAAAAGGCAGGATTATCTGGTGAAAAATAATAATGATAAGAAGGGTGGAAGGCAGCAGGAAAAAAAGGAAGACCAAATATGAGATGGACTGATTCCTTAATTCCACAAGCATGAGTCTGTAAGAGCTGAGCAGCGCTGCTGAGGACAGGATGTTTTGGAGGGCTGATCTGTAGGGTTTCCAGAGACTTGACAACACAGAACAGCAGCAGCAATAACAGCCAATGGACCCATCCCGAACCCAGGCAGCTAGAGCTGAGCAGGGCTGCTGAGGACAGGATGTTTTGGAGGGCTGATCTGTAGGGTTTCCAGAGACTTGACAACACAGAACAGCAGCAGCAATAACAGCCAATGGACCCATCCCGAACCCAGGCAGCTCAAGGGGGTGGTAGAAAATTGACGGGGGGGGGACAGAAAGTTGGCAGCAGCAAAGATGGGCCAAAGGAAGTGCCTGCTTACCAGAGTTTTTATGTTTTCAGGATCCTCTGTCTCGCTTGCCCGCTTACTGCTGGGCTTCCAGGCCTTCTCGGCCTTGTTGAGCTTGACATCTTCATTTAAAGAAACAGCTGCAATTATCTTCCTGGGCTCCTTCCTCAGGCTTTGCTGGGAACGCCGCTGACCTGGCCCTGCAGGCTTTGAGAGTCAAAAGGGTAGGAAGAGAGGTCAGAGCTTCCGAGGTGCCCCCCCCCAGGCACTACACCCTATGCTATGCATCAGCTCGGCACCATCCGAGAAGGAAATGCCCCCCGCCCCCTCCAATGCTCAGATCCTCAGTTCCATCACAGGGTTATCAGTGGCCCAGACACGATGGCACTAACTAGGAGTTCATCATGCAAGCGGACAAAGCCGGCAGGGGGATCCCTCTTGGCAAACAAACACGGCTTGAATGGTACCTACCGGTCCACGGTTGGGCGGGTTTGGCCGGCCTAGGTTAGCAAAGGAAGGTGTGAAGTCTGGTCCGCAATTCATGCTGCTCAAGCGCACGGGGTCCAGGGGGCGCAGGGGCATCTTGTTTGCCTGTCCGGCCAAGAGACGGGGAAAGCAACACACAAAAATGCACAAGGAGTGAGCGTCAAAGGCGAGGCGGCGGTCATTTTCAAATAAGCAACTGGCCTCTGTAAACACCTAATATTCTAAGGCTGGTGGTTCGCAAGCATTTTCCTTGTCCAACTACTGGCTGTGGCGCTCTTCGCTTGGAGGTCTCTCCCTCCCACCAGATCTCAACAGCCATCCCATTCCACCGCACCCCCAATATCCTCAAGGGCCCACCTCCTTCCAGGTCCTGACGCAGGAACCCCCCCACAGGCCACCCAGCAAGCATTTCCACTGGGGACCATAAAGATGGGGAAAGGAAGGGAAAGCACACAGCCTCCATTTCCTGTTCCTATTCAACATAGAACTATGAAGGCTATAGAGGAGCTGTTTGTTGCCTTCATAGCTCTATGTTCCTTTATTTATTTGTTCCATTTCTACTCTGCCCATCTAGATTCAGGAAATCTACTCTGGCTTCCTGTTCCTATTCAACATAGAGCTATGAAGGCTATAGAGGAGCTGTTCCTCTGGAGGGAGCTGCATTTATTTATTTGTTCCATTTCTACTCCGCCCATCTAGATTCAGGAAATCTACTCTGGGCCGCTTACAGAATATAAAGTTAAAAACAGCACTCAAATAACTCCCGTTCATAATAGCAATCAAGATCAATAAAGAAAACAGGATCCAAGATGGGATAAGGATGCTATGTCATGGGAGGGGAGGAAGGCCTGCAGGAAGAACCAAGTTCTTTAACTTGTTTTTAAAAATCCCATCCCTTTTTCCCACGGCACCCTTGCTTGGACGTCACTGTGTCCCCTGGAGCCAAGGCGCACCGCTTGGGAACCCTGCATTGTAGACATTCTGGGATCTCCAAAATCATAGCCCGATGCCAGTGTTTCTCTGCCCTTTGGAATTCCGCCCTTCCCGCTTCCCGGCAATGCTCCATAGATACATTTTTCTATAGATCTTGACAAGAATACACTCCCCGGTGACATCATGCAACACAAGAAAAAGAAAGGCTTTTGCGGAACACCCTGTGAACCCAGGTGGCAAAGGAGGCTGACCTTTTCCAGGACCACGTCACTGATATGGGGCAACCCTTCGGGCTTCTGCATGCTAGCAACGATGAACTGGAAGCCGAGCAGGAACTCCCGGTCATATCGCTTCTTCTCTTCTGGATTGAGGGGCTTCCACTGCTCTGTTAAGGGAAAGAACGGGGAGAACATCAGGAAGAAAGTTAAGTGTTAGGAGGCGTAGGGGAAGAAGCTTCATCAGTCACTAACAGCATCACTGGGGAGCCACTCCTTTGGGACAAAACGCTGAGGCCGTGCGGCTCCCTCCAGAGGAAAGATCTTCTTCCTTTCTCGTCTTGCACTGCATCGAAGCCGGGGACAGACTCAAGACATGCTGAACCCCTAAGTTTAAGGGACTCTGAAAATTTCTATTAAAATGTGCACTGTTCTAATGATTACAGTGGTGCCTCGACTTATGAACGTCCAAACTTACGACCAATTCAAGTTACGAACAGCTCCGGCCACAACATTTTGCTTCTATTTGTGACCAGTCCTTCGAGTTATGAAGGGGGGGGAGGCGGAGGAAGGGGGGGAATTTGAACTGCTTTCAGTGAAGAGGCTGCTTCTCTGTAGCTCTTTCACCCCTGCGGTTAGAGAGTGTGGGTTCGGAGAGAGACTTAGGACTGCCTGGTACTGCATTCTGCTTTTTAAAATGCCAAAACAAGGTTTTGCAGTGTGGGTTTGGGCTGGGGTGGGGGGTTATGTTTCTGTGTTGTGATGGGTCTTGCAGTGTGTAGTTGTAGCATTTTTAGTCCCTGCTAGAATGTGTGTGGTGTTTTTTTTATTCTGTGGCTCGTAGGGTTTGTGTACTGTGACCTCTTGTTTTAAAAGGTGTTGGGTTTAAAAGGTGTGGGTTTAAAATGTGTTTTAGACTCCAAAGTCTCTTCCCCCCATTGTCTTTTCTCTTTCTCTATCCTCTCTTTTTGTGCTTAAACTTGCGACCGGCGCTTTGAGATATGACCAAAAATGGCCGGAACGGATTAAGTGCATTTCAATGGGAAATTGTGTTTCGACTTCTGATCATTTCGAGTTACAACCATCTTCTGGAATAGATTAAGTTTGTTAAGTCAAGGCATCACTGTACTTCAAACGTGAAATGGATGGTGGACTATCCAGAGGCCGCTTATGCCAAATGGAAATGGAAGCGATTGTTTATCTAGCCTGGATGTAAATCCAGCACTGATTATGGCAGATGCTCCTTGTAGCCCTCTTCTCTCACCTGGGAGATAAGAGGATGAGGCAGGTGTGTTGTCATAGCATCTGCCATGTACTTTGGAGGGCCTCAGAATTAAAGTATATTGCAGATGCTATGACAACACACCAGGGAGGACGCCTGGACCCCTCCCAGTTTCAACACTGGAAAGCCAGCAGCTGGAGAACAGTGAACTTTCCACCACAGAGGAAACTGTCCCGTTCCCATCTTCTCCTGGTGCTCGGCAAATGCACCTTCATACTTGATCCTTAGCTATCTAACTCTTGTAATCACACACCTCAGTCTTTTAAATCCATCTTGTCTATCTGATGTCAATGGATAAATCCCTGAGTGGGGAGTGCCGTGCTTCTGTAAAGCACGTAGCAAACACAGGGGTAAAGCAATTAACATACGGCAGTGGAGATGTCACACTAATTTTTTTTAAAAAACGCAGGAGCTTTTATCAGCCGTTCTTTTAAAACACTGGTCGCAATACCTTCCTCCCAGTCAGCTGTGTAAATCAGGGAAGGCGTTGCAATACTAATCTCTTAATGATATTGCACATTGCCAAAAAAAAAGCCTCTTTGTGACTGCGAGAGCCTCTGGTTGCAACAGAAAGGTAGTGTGTTGCTCACTGTGCAAGCTGGGATTCCTAGCCATTTCACCTGCTTTATAAGTCAAGACTTTCCTTGTCCAAGATTAAAAGGCAACGCACAAGCTGCTGTAGTTTCAATATGCTTGCTCTCTGCTTTTCCTTGTTCTTCCAACATCAAGCAAAAAAAAAAAAAAGGCTGCAGCCACGGAAGCTCCTGTGAACTGAGTGAAACAGTCCAGAGATGCAGGTTAAGTCTGCTCAGATCCTCAGCTCCATCATAGTAGGTCAGTGGCCCAGACACGATGGCTCAAAAGGGAGGTCATCACAGAAGACTCAACACAGCTGCAGTGGGTGCTCTCAGCAGATACAAGGGCTATTTTTCAGAGTTGTCAGCAGCTCTAGGGCTGCACTGCCTTGTGGCACAGCGGTTAAACTGCAGTACTGCAGCCAGGACTCTGCTCATGATGTGAGCTTGATCCCGTTGGGTTCAGGCAGCAGGCTCAAGGTTGACTCAGCCTTCTATCCTTCTGAAGTTGGTAAACTGAGAACCAAGGGGAAGGGGGGGGAGACGTGTAGCCCGAGTCATTAAAATTGTAAACTGTTCAGAGGGTGCTTTAAGCACTATAGGATGGTATACAAGCAGCACCCTTTGCTTTTTGGCTTTGCTTTAAAGTGGAGGACCATGGCCAAAGAGGTGAAATGGCTAATTAATTTTTTTAAAGATAAAGTTTGCTACAATGGGTTTCTGTTAATAGTAAAATGGTTTTCATTGAAAAACATTTATAAAAGAAAACCCGGATAGGCTACGTTTGACTTTTCTAGCCACAACAGAGCTGATGGGCAGGGCTCCTGCCAAAACAGATGGCAACAGTCGCTCACCTGCTCTCCAAGGGGAGCCATTAAAAAAAGGACAGGGATCCCCACCCTTCCACTCGACTCACCTTCCTTATAGCGGTACTTCTGATCCGCTTGCTTGACCTTCTCGGGATCTAGCTTGTCCTCCTTTTCTTCCCATGTTTCTTCTGGCTCCTCCTGGGAGCGAGCGGGCGCCGGCTCCTCTGGCTCTGGGGCTGGCACAGGGGGATTGTTCTCGGTCTCAGAGCCTCCCTCACTGACCTGAGAGAGAACATGGAGCAGGAAGGCAGCCCATCAAGACCCTATCAACACACAGTCCCACAACCACCCAGAACAGCAAGGACCAGAACGGCTGAACAAAACACGACCAAGTACATATGCCCATGGAGAAAGAATCCTAGACTGTTTTGAGTTGGAAGGGGCCTAGAAGACCATCGAGTCCAATGACGGGTTAGTCCATTTTCGTACTGCTCTAACAGTTAATAAGTTAGTCCTGATCTCCAGCCTAAATCTGGCTTCCTGTTGCTTGAACCCATTGTTGCACGTCCTGCCGCTTCAAGCACTAAAGGTGTTCTGTCTGTATGGTAACAAGGAACTCAACCCCCTCCCCATCACTCCTTCCCCAAGGCTATTTCTCAACTTAAGTCCTGACCTACCATGGGGTGGGCACAAACAAAGCACAACCTTCATACCCCGTAGGATAATTCTGGAAGCTAAGCAGGGTCAGGCCTGGTATGTATTTGGGTAAGGAATCACTAAGGATCTCCAGAAAGGGCAAATAAAGAATCGCTGCTGGTCAGAGTTAACAATAAAGGGGGTAGATGAACCAATGGCTTATAATACCAATGGCGAACCTATGGCACGCGTGCCACAGCTGGCACACAGAGCCCTCTCCGTGGGCATGCAAGCCATGCCAATACCACTGCCAGCCAGGCCAGGGTGCTGCCCTAGTAATCCTATAGGTCAGTAGTTCCCAAGCTTGGATTACCCAGGTATTCTTGGACTGCAATTCCCAGAAGCCTTCACCAAGGCTGTACTGGCTGGGGATTCTGGGAGTTGCAGTTCATGACTGGGAGCCACTGCTCTAAGTGATCATGTTCTGGGTCTCTCCAGAAACCAAACTGGACTACCGAAGACTGGTAGTTTTGGTACGTTCCCATCAGTGGGAAAACATTCCCATCCATGCTGAAAGTTGCATCCAAGATTTCGGCATGCTTGCTGTGTGGGGTTATCTGCATGTTTCGGGGCAGCTCCCTATGAAGAGCTGGTTTTATGGGCAACCTGAGAGGCAGAAACACAAGGAACTGGTCCATCAGATGATATCAGAAATTAGAATGAGAGGCCAGGTCTCGGGGATGTAGAAAATGAAATTAATCTTTCTTCTAGTTTTAAAATGCTCAAGCGTGTTTCGGCATACAGTCCTGTAATTCTGAGTATTTGGAGCTGGCACAGACCAAATGAAGCTGGTGAAGTTTCAACTCCTGATGCCCTTCCTGAAGAAGGCTGTGCACTGAAACACGCTGAGCATTTAAAAACCAGAATAAAGACAACTTTCATTTTCTACATCCTAAGGCATAGTCTCTCATTCTGATTTCTGACAACTCTGGGGGCAGCAATACTCATTAGGCAATTAGGAAGACCTTGTCGCTCTCTGCTGGCGAGGGATGAACCTTCGGGTCCCGTTTCCTCGTACAAGTGGGGGCTGCCCCCTCTTTGAATGCGTCCAACACGTCTCCAGCTTCCTTCTTGTTCAGGTTTTTCAACTTCCGCTTCTTCTTTGGCACTGATACAGCCGCTACAGTCGCAAAGAGTAAGCAGGGAAGGTTGAACTCAGATTTACAATAGAGCAGCCCCTGCTCAATGAACATTCATTCATTCATTCATTCATTCATTCATCCATCCATCCATCCATCCATCCATCCATTCCATCCATTCCATCCATCCATCCATTCCATCCATCCATTCCATCCATCCATCCATCCATCCATCCATCCATCCATCCATCCATCCATCCATCCATCCATCCATCCATCCATCCATCCATACTACTTATATGCCACCTTTCTCTTAAAAGATCCAAGACAGCTTACAGTATTAAAAGGAACAAAACTAAAAGCTAAACTAATACATTATTACATTTTAAAAAATAAAACAAACATCATATGAAGACTTATTAAAAAGAGTAATATTAAAAACTCAAGTAAAACAACAGAATACAATTATCCCTTTTTTTAAAAAAAAATCCCTTTGTTCATCCAGTCATTTAAAGGAAAAGCCTGCCTGAAGAGAAACAATAGCCAACATTTGCTACGGGTGGGGTGGGGTGAAAGGGCCCTGCTCCATTAATTTAACACAGAATGAGTAGAACTGACAGGGTCAACACATGAAGTGTTAACATCAGTGAGACTTATTAAAAAGAGTAATATTAAAAACTCAAGTAAAACAACAGAATACAATTATCCCTTTTTTTAAAAAAAAATCCCTTTGTTCATCCAGTCATTTAAAGGAAAAGCCTGCCTGAAGAGAAACAATAGCCAACATTTGCTACGGGTGGGGTGGGGTGAAAGGGCCCTGCTCCATTAATTTAACACAGAATGAGTAGAACTGATAGGGTTAACACATGAAGTGTTAACATCAGTGACACTAATGTACGCCATTACCTCCCTGAAAAGAACTGGTGCCTAGAACTTAACATAGAAAGGAATCTTAACAATTCAGGAATAACAGGATTCCGTGGACTCAGGGAAGGGAGGCACCTTTGATGCACAAGACCTGAGAGGGCTGTTACTACCAGAACCTTCCAGAGATCATCAATTCACAAGGTCACCATAACAGAGGACAGGAGAAGAACAAAGGTGGAAAAGAACCAAAATGTCACCAACAACGGAAGATTCTTAATACCCTGGCGACTGCGGCTTCGTGGGTACATGAGCCTTCCTCCACATCGGGAACTCATAGACCTTTGCTCTTCCCCACAGATTCAAAGCGGAGAAAAGTACTCTGGGGCCTGATCCTGATGCCCTTCCAGAAGGGGGCATCTCTTGCTTTTCAAAAATAAAAAGCAGATTAACAGTCTATCTCCCAATGGACTAAGCCTCTTCACATTGTCTAAATACATTTTAAGAAGCCATCAGCAGAACCACTGAATGTTTTTCAATACCTTCTGAAGGCATAAATAGAAAATGCTACAGGGAGCTGGACTTTAACCCAGTTTTTTTCTGTTAAATCTGTCGTATAAATAGCTGAAGAAGATTGCCCACAAGGAACGCAACCCATCCCTGGCCTCTTGAAGGAGCCGTGGGGCAAACGCAGCCCTTCTACACGTTGTTAGACTGCAACGTGTCCAAGAGAGCAACAGTCCCACTGTATGTGAAGGGCTGTTGCACTTTGCTCACCTCTGCCTTCAACGGCCAAGTTGAAATGTTTGCAGACCTTCCTTCGCTTCACTTCCTGGCACTCACCTTGTGTGGTCATCTCCACAGTCTCCATGGGCGCAGCTGCTGGTTGGGCACTCTGCTCTGGCACCTCAACCGGCTCCTCCTCTTCCTCTTCCTCCTGATCCGGCTCCTCCTCTTCCTCTTCCGCAGGAGGAGCAGGGACCGGCGGGGCCGCCGATTCCTCAGCCTTCACCTCCTCCGGCTCCGAGATGGGGCTGACGTCCGATTCGGGCTGCTCCTTGGGCTCTTCGACCTCGTCCTCCGGCTCGTCAGGTGCAGCCAGCTCCTCCGGCTGCACAATGGGAGACTCCACGGCAGAATCCGGCGGGCACGGGGGGCTGGTCTCCGGGGTGGTCTCTGGCATGTCCTCCTCCGGCACGCCATTGGATTCCACCACGACTGTCTTGGAAGCCTCCTCTAGAGGTGGTGGGGTCGGGGGAGCAGCTGGTGGGGCAACAGGAAGCTCCTCCTCCTCCTCCTCCTCCTCGGGCGGAGAAGCCTCCAGCGGGGTAGTCATTTTTTCCACCGGTACCTCCTCCTCCTCCTCTTCCTCCATGGCCGTTTCCGGCTGGGAAGGGACCTCCAAAATTGGGCTAGCAGCGACTTCCTCCCGAGTGTCTGTGTCCAAGACAGGGGCTTCCGGAGGGAGGAGAGGGCCCCCTGGCACTGTAGTGGTGGCGCTCACGGGCTCGAGGATGTCTGCGGGGGCCTCGGGGGGCTCTTCTGTAGTGTCCACTGTGATGGGGCTTTCTGCACGCACCAGCGGCACGGCGGCGGGCAGCACAGGCTCTGCCTCGGCTATGAGGGGCGGCGGGGGAGAAGGGGAGGCCGATTTACTAGTCTCTGAGGAAACCGGTTTACCTGCTCCTGGGCCAGGCTTCGGACGATCGTCTGCGGGGAAAAGTAGACAAGAGACGTTTAGTGCATTAGAACAGACGGCTTGCCTTTCTCATCCACCTCAAAGAAGAAGAGCCTCGGAAACTTTAAAGGAAAGGCTTGTCCTCCAGATATCTTCAGCCTCCAGCTCCCTCCAGCTCTACCCAGCACAGGTAAACTCTACAGATGGATGGGGGATTTTTTTAAGTCCAAAAGCATCTGGAAGGCAGAACGGGATGTCCCCATACAGATGCTACATCAAGGTGCTCAGATCACAGACGACCAATAAAAGTCAGCAAGCTTTCTAGATTCAGGTCTCTTTTTAAACACAGACCTAGATAAGCCAGTCAAAAGGAGGAGGGTGAACAAAAACAATCATCTTTTTTTTTCTAGGATCTTTTTCCCAAATAAAGCCTAAGAGGGGGAAGACACACTGACAAATTCAGGAACTGACCACATTTTGCAGACAATGGGGTTAAAGTGGAGTCCAGGTACAGAAGACTTCCAACTTTACCTCTCTTATTGCCTTTAAGCCTGCTTCCTTCAATTCCCATAGCCCACTAATGTTAATCATAGTACATCTAATGGGAATATTTTATGAAAATATAAGATACAAATGTAATGTTAAAAAATTAACAGAAACACACATCCCTTTTCTTTTCTTTTTTTTCTGCCCACTATCCTCCTTCCAGATGCCACTCCTGTTCTAATCCTAACCCCAGATCTTAATTTAAGAGCAGGGCTGTGTCTTTTTGTTTTGTTTTGTTTTTTTGGGGTTTTTTTTGCAAACTGCAAAGCACTTTTTTTTAAAAAAAGATAATAATATCCCTTCTGAATAGATGTCTTGCTGAAAGATCGGGGCAAATGACACTTCCCTCTGTCAAATCATGACAAAACCTACCAAGCAGAACATTAGACCGACGGCCTAAAATAAAGAGCTCCCCCAAAATAAAAAGCTATGTTGTTTCTAAGAGACTTGAATGAGTTATGTCGTGCAGCATGTTTTAGACGGCGGCTCCCTCATTTCTGAGGGTCCCAAATTTTGAAGTCTATTAAGCAGCAAGAACTGCTTGGATAGCTCAATGGTTCAGGCATCTGACTGCAGAGGCAGAGGTTGGGAGTTTGATTCCTCCATGGGGCTTCCTGGACTCGATGATCCAGATCTGCAGTCCTAAAAATGATGGTGATGATGAATATTCCAGATAAAACAAATATTTGTTTGCTCCCAACCTCCTACATGGCTCAGGATTTTGGAAAACTGAAAAGAGATTTTTATTTCTTCCTATAAAATTAAATTCCCTACTAGAGATGGGCACGAATCACTTCATGGCGGGTCTCCTTAAGTCCTTGATTTGACAGTTGCTCTTCTGATTTGGAACCTGAACTATCAGACAGATCTCTTAATTGATACAGATTACAGTCTTTCCACAATTTGAATTCAGTCCTTTTGTTAACATCATAAAATAAGAGATGGCTAAGGATGGCTAAGAGAAGAAGGGAACAAGGGAGGACGAGATGGCTGGACTGTGTCACTGAAGCAACCAACATGAATTTGACCCAACTCCAGGAGGCAATGGAAGACAGGAGGGCCTGGCGTGCTCTGGTCCATGGGGTCACAAAGAGTAGGACACAACGACTAAGCAAAAAGGATGTTAACAAAAGGACTGAATTCAAATTGTGGAAAGACTGTAATCTGTATCTGATTAAGAGATCTGTATGATAGTTCCGGTTCCAAATCCAACTGTTCAATCATGGAGGCACTATCTCACCCTTCTGGTTTCAAAAACTGCAGGTTGTTCATTTTTCTCCCTTTCAAGTAGTGAAAGTACAGGCCACTAGGCAGTTAACTGCATTTGAAATATTGCTATTAAACTCTGAAAATAGCCAATAGGATCTGGCTTCTAAATTATATGAAATACTAAGTGACTCCCACTTTGGCTGTAAAATTAGGTACCAATATGGTCTGGGGATGACCATATCTGATGACACATGGCGAGCTGTATGGAACAAAGCTTCTCTCAGATCTATCTCGTCCAAATGTAAGAAGCATTCTAGTACAGGCTTCTGCACAGGTGGTATGGTACACCAGTTTGTTTGAGTTATATCAATAAAGAAACAAGTTCAACCTGCTGGAGAAGTCAAGAGAATATTGGTGCATATTTTCATACGGGGTGGCCATGCCTCCCAATCCAGCTGCTCTGCTCCAGAGTTTTTACAAGAACAGAATTAATCACAGGAGGAAAAATTATAAGGTCACCAGATCCAGCACTTCTGTCCTTATTTTTCGGCTCTAGCGAACAGCTAATTCACAAACGATTTTGACTTTTTCTCTATGCGAATATGTCTGGAAAGGCTGCAAACTGGAATGGAATTTGTACTTTTAGCTTTACACGTATGGAGAATCAGAATATGGCATACTGCCCGAATGGAAAAAATTATCTCACCAGATCAGATTATTTAAACAGCCAAACTCCCGAGATGATTTTTTTCCAATATATAACGGAAGCCTTTCATTTATTATGTTAGTAAGAATGGCAAGACTTAATTTTCCCCCAGACTCACACGTCAATCTTGGGTGTGATATTCCATCCTGATACAGATTGCCATGATGTGAAGCTACTATATCAGATTGTACACGTCTGGTGAAAGAGCTGTACTATTATTATATTGTTGTTTTTGCTGCTCACCTAATCCCTGTGCCACTGGCACCAATGTGACTTCTGACATGGTTGAATAAGCCAATAAAATGGAAGCTGTGATCTACAGGATACTTCATTGATCAAAGCCACACGGCTAGCTAGGAAGCTAAAGCCCTTGGCCCTGAGAACTGCCGCACTGGGCCACAACACAAACGCCGTTCGCTCTCACAGGTAACTATTGCACGGGTTCATGACTGAAGATGACTGGAGAGGGTGGAAAGCTAATGCTGAGTTGACCTGATGAGTTTATCTGGAGAGTAAATGACAGCCCAGGGATCTATTAAGGAAGCCTCAAATTGAAAAAGTTTGGCACAGGAGCAAGTAATCTTTCCAGCCTCTGATCTGCCTTTGTTCAGGGAACAAGCCAAAGCAAGATAACTTCCCTTTAAATGTTGCAGCTGAAAAGCAGACGTGAGATGCAGCAAGACCTTGGACCTTCCCATAAAACTGTAGGAGATGAATTTCTTACTAGATGCTTGCATACTGTTTGCCTGAAAGGCTCTGCCTCCCCGTGGTCAGAACAGAAAACGTCACAGAGCTGGACTGTTCCTGCTCAGTGGGATGTATAGTACCAAAATCACAGTATGAGCTGCTTTCTGAGCTGCCGAAGGGAGTTTTAAGACAAGAGACTTAACACAGCCTTCCATAGAAGGAGAGGATCATCCTTCAACATATTTCTCTTTTTAAAACCCTATCACCACGCCAGAAGCAAAACAGATTCAAAACACAAAGAATTGTACTGTGAGGTCTCAAGTCTTGTTTTGGTTTTTTTTTGTATTTTTATTTTTTATTTTTTTTATTTTTATTTTTTGTATTTTTATCTATACTCAGGTCTCAAGTCTTCAAGGGATTAATTAACCGAGATGTTTTAGCTGGTTCCTCTTCCCGTCAAAAAGAACAATGCTTGAGACACTACTTAACAACTCAGAAGGCAGAATGGGGAGGCTCACTGGCCTTAAGGTTTCCGTCTTTAAGACACTGGGACCTTCACCACATTGAACAATTCTAATCTGGACAAACTACTCTTCAGTAAAACAACTTTTTATGGGCTTAATTTAAATTGCAAAGCTGGCTGGATAGTTCAGTGGTTTAGGTATTTGGTTATGGAGCCGCAAGTTGAGAACTGAATTCCTTAATGTGCGTCCTGCAAGTAAAGCTGCCAGCCTGTGTGGCCTTGGGCAAGCTGCATAGTCAAAGGGAACCCCCCCCCCCCCAAGAAAAAGGGAAAGGGAAGCAACTTCTGAGCATTCTCTACCTGGAAAAGGGAACACCCCCCCCCCAAGAAAAAGGGAAAGCGAAGCAACTTCTGAGTATTCTCTACCTGGAAAAGGGTCTCCATAAGTCAGAATTGATTTGACAGCACATTGTTGTTGTTGCTGTTGTTGTTAAACTGCAAAACAGTATATTCTGCTAGATGTATTGCAGGTGCCATGGGCTCAATCTGGATAAAGACCAGAGCAGGACCGAGTTCCACTGGCTGAGCCCATTCTAGAAGTGGGGGAACCCAATGCTGTGTGAATTGTTAAGATTGTCAACAATTCCATCTTATAAACAGAATGAACACTGGCAAAAACAGAGAGGTTCTGAAAGAACCAGCAGTCAAGAGTACATGCACAGTTACCATTTCTGAAGCCATGTGGCAAGAACTGAAGTTGCACTTTTTAAGCTCAGTTTTTCTGCAATGCTGGCTTCAAATAAAAATGACATTTGGCTTCAAATCCAGCCAGGCAACAAAACCATATGCCGAAATAAAAAAGGGGTTCTAACTACCTATGAAGAAATAAAACTGCTCAGTACATTGCACACATCTGGTTACCCTGCATCATCTGTCACTGGATAACCACCCAGTGATAACAACAGATGTGAGCTCATATTTGATGCCCACTGTTCTATTCCGGTTCAACCACACAATTATAAGGACAATACAAGGATATGTATCTTACATGTCTGAGGAAGTAGACTTGTTCCATGAAATCTCACATTAAAACATTGTAGATCGACGTTAAGGTCCCTCAGTGTTTTTGCCTTTTGCTTTTGTAGTCTCGTTTTCTTTGTCAGATATGCCTCCACAAACTAACGTGGCTAGTTCTTCCCAGGTTGAGGATCTCAAGTGTTTGTGGGGAAACTCTTCCCCCTTTTGTGGAGAAGTAAGTGCAAATGCACACTCATCCTCACAAAAAGCCACAAGTAATAGGGTGAGACACCAGATCCCCTTCTGGTAACACACAGTGGCTTGATGATGCAAGCAATCAAAATCAACCTCAAAGACCCTCAGCCCCTCTCTCTGGTACTCTGTCAGCTGAACAGAAAGGAAAAGAAACCACAATTCCAGCTCCCGTTGCATCTGATAGCCAAGTCTTTACTAGCTGTCATACCTGGCCGGACAATCACAGCTACGTGGGGCGTCTCTCCGTTGGCCTGTGGCTCTGGACCGCTTCCAGCCTGTAAAAGGAGAGAGAGAGAGAGAGAGGAGGAGTAAAGAAGAGCAGATGAGCGTGGTTTGTGTGTGTGTGTGTGTCTCCCATCCTCTCTATGCATCTGCAAAATATTACTCACTGTTTTGGTTGCCGCTATAAGACCCACAAGCGGGCTCACCAAGCCCCAAACTGTTGAGGGACCTGGGTCTCTTTAGTCTGGATAAGAGGAGGCTGAGAAGTGTTTCTACAGCCATCTAAAGAGCCAGCACATGAAAAACAGAGGGAGGTGTTTTTCCCCCTGCAGCTCCAAAGAGAAGGGCCCTTACTTCTGTATTAAAATTATAAGAGAGGAGGTTAAAACTAAATGTTAAGAACTTCCTAAAAGTATGGGCTGTTTGGTTCTGGAGCAGATTGGATGTTCTGGACTCTCCTTTGCTGGTGACAAAACATCTGTAAAGGAGGCTTCAGCTACAGATGTTCCTCACTGGAAGGATGCTGGACTAAATCGGTCAATTTATTATTCTATGGCTGAAATCATGTTGTCATAAATGGATGCCATGCAAAACTGATGATGTCATCACCCAGTGATGGATCTTTTTAATTTAATGAAATTACAAATCTCCTGTCCCCACCCTTCATGTTCCAAGGCTCCTTTGGGATACCCTTTGAGAGCCTCGGGTCTTTAATACTAGAAAATTGCTACGAGATTGCTGCTGGTGATTTTCTGATATGAAACGCTGCCCCATCATCCCAACACTCCCAAAGACATCCCAAAAAGGGCAAAAGGGATCTCTAGGGGGCCTTGGGAACCTGAAAGAAGGGGTTGGGAAAGGGTTTAGGAAGTTTTTAATTTAATCAAATTAAAGAGGTCCATCAACAAATGATGCCACCCATCACGCACATTTAAATTTACAACATGAGTTCAGCCAAGAATTCTAAAAGCTCTGAATAGTGTACAGAAGCGGTGCAGTGGCTCGCTGTCACGGCTCTGTTTTTGAAGAGATTCAGAAAAGAGCAATATAGGAGGGCGAAGGTTTCCCACCAGGTCTGTGCTATGCCTTGTGAAGCTCCCTCAACACATCTGGACCTCAATGTGACCTCACAAGACTCTACCCCCAAACAAAAGAGAGGATGGAGTAAGCTAACACAACTGGACTCTCTTAGGCTGCCTGTTGGGGAAGATACAACTGCATCGGCAATGGAAATGTGTACATAGCAAAATCATTTCACTTCGTATACATTCACTACAACATTCCCTGTCACCATGGATACTCATCAGACTATATTTGGGTTTGATCTGCACTGTCTTCTTAAGAACTTTAATTTTTCCAAACCTTTATCAAAGAACTTGGAGGAGGAGGCTGATTTTTTTTTTAAAAAATGCCCTTTTCTGGCAAGATCCCATGTACTACTTTATGGTTTAGGGGTCAGATTTCACTGTATTGGGTGCATTGCTTCTCTATTTCAAAAAACAGGGAACATGAAAAACATATTCAGCACTGCTGAGTCTCCTCAGTGCTAGCTAGGAGCTTTCTTTATGTGCAGGAAGCCTGGGCGGAGGTAGCAATTTTGGCCTTTCTACCAACGGCCGCACTTGGTTCAGGTGTGGTCTTGGTGGGCCAGAGGTCCGTAAAGTAGGTAGAATCCCAAAATGGAGAATCAGGGTATCTATGGTCTAAAAATTCTGACTTTATTCCTAGCTCTGTAGCACCAATACCACATCACGTCCTCTAGCTTTAACAAAGTATTCTGTTAAAGTCAACTCCAACCCATTGCTGGCACAATTTCCAAACAAATATGTAGTCATGGCCCAGACGCCTCTGAGGTGAGGATTCACAAAAACCTAAGGGCAGAGCAAGCACTTCCTCCAAATATAGCACATATTTCACCAAATCCATTTGCCATACAGGCAAAAAAAGAAATGTCCATGTTCTTCTCCAAAAAAGATTTGCAAAGTAACACAGTGGATCGACTGGAGAGCCAGTTCCCATTTTTAAATGTAGGACAGCCGGGTTGCAGAGGCCAAACGCAAATATTTGAGCAAGCCAAAAAAAAAAAAAACTTTACAGAGGTCTTGACATGGACTGAGATTATATCTAACATGAAAAAACTAAAGGAGCAGCACCTGAAGACAGACTCAAGTATTTCAAGATGCATCAGATACACAAGGGCATAAGAATGAACGGTGATTCACAGCGAGTGATTCGCATCTGACAAATATTCATGGTTTGTCCTTGGCATACAATGGCCTCTGATGGCACAGAGAAACGCTAGCAAAACCCAACACACGACAGTTGCTGTTTTCAGGTCACGGCAACTTCTCCTCTGGCTGATACCCGTCAAGTGAATTGCAAAAGCTGTGCACAAAAAAACCCATTCATTCTTCCTTCCAGGGTGAGCACCAAGAAAAGGCCACAACTGTTCCTATGCAAATGAAATAGATGTGCGACCTGACCCCAACCCTCCTCTTGTTATTTAACTGTCAGGAAGGGGTGTGCATTGCGTGATCAGAGAGAGCACAAGGGAACACTGAACAAAACTGAGAAAACAGAACACCCTCTTACCTGTGGAGGAGTAGGGGTAGAAGAGGTTCTAGCACCAGACATTATTTCCTCTGTGATATCCTTGCCACCTTGATTTGGATCTCGTATTCGGATCTGGCAGAAGATCATAGAAGAAAAGTGTTAGACAGGCAAACAAAAGAGGCGCCGCATGTAATCATCTTTGGCAAGAATATGTTTCCCCTTTCCTTTATCTAGCACCTCCAAATATCCTGCCCTTTCATGGCTTTGACTACATCTCCCAGGATTCCTGATGGTTAGCCAACACCTTGGGAGATGCACTAGGCTAGAAGGAGGGTGCCTCGGGCATTACTGACTGCTGAAGAATACCTGCTGCTCTCCACTGCCCTCCCTTGAGGCAAGCATAGAGGAATAAGGGGTCTGCAGCTCATCTGGACAAGTTGGACAACTCTGGACTCCTTCCTCGAGGCAGCCTCTATGCACCACCTTCTTTCTCCTTCATCCTCAAGACATTTCTCGGAGGAAGGATTCAGCTGAGAGAGACTGAATGGCTCGGGAGTATCCCCGCAGGTTCTGTGGCTCAGTGGAGATGCATACATAGACGGCCTGACACTCTAAATCGCTAGAACAAACTGGCTCTCAAGAGGCAGGCTGAACAAAGGAAGAACTGGACGGCCACAGTGAACCAAAAAAGTCCACAAAATTCCAACACCCTGTTTCTGACATCTGTCACAAAGAGATCCTGAAAGAAGATCCTACATTTGCCTCCAGGACCTGGGATCTACTTGCCTCTGAACATGAAGGTTCCATTCAGGATATTGTAATATACACCTGCGAATAGACTTAACCACTGTGGAGTTATCTAAATCCCACCTTGTGGCCAATTCCGTAAGTTACAGATCCACCAAAACTCTCAGAGAGAGGGAAGTCTGAAGGCAGAGACCAAACACTGACTCCGTCCACCTTGTCGGCAGTCCACGTGGAGGTCCACACTCACCTGACAAGAACTCGTGTTTGGCAAGGACTTCACACCACCCATGACAGAGTGCCAAGCTTCTTTAAGCCAGCTGCCATGCCGGGTGCGCTTCCCAGGTTCTCCCTCCCACCCGCCCTACCACAGGGCTGAGGCCAGGAGGAAGGAAGCAGGCTCCTCCTCCTGGCCCTGAGCGCCCAGGGTGGGTGGCTGGCTGTTGGAGGGAGCCAAGGGGGAGACAGAGTCTTGGCAGCAACCGATGAGGTCACAAGCAAGCTCTGTTGGGCAGGGCTGGACCTGACTGCTGAGTCAGCAAAGGGAAGCCTTCTTGGGGCAGCTCTTCCCCCAGTAGTGCTTGCAGCTAAAGGTAGAGATCCTGCAACTAGGGAAAAGCAAAACAGAGCCCTGGAAAGGAAGACAACCCAAGCTCTTCTGCTCTTGAGGGTCCCCTCTCTCTAACAGGCCATTCTTCCTCTCAAATTCCTAATAGGACACAGTCCATGCATTCTGGCCTGGCCTGACCCATGTCACAATGCTCCCGGATATGCACACACTCATTGGCCAGTTCTGTCCTAGGTGGAATAGCGCCACGATGTTCTCAGGAGTCTTTCAGAGACGGCCTCTCTCTTCCTGTTACGAGATGGTCCCGATTTTACTCACAAAGGCACAGCCTGTACCTCTGCATGGAGGAGACCAGGAAAGTACTACAGCTCAGAGGCAGAGCACAAGCGCTGCATGCGTAAAGCAGCTTGGAAGGAAAGGCTGCAAAAACTCTGGCTCAGATGCTGAGCAGCCACTCCCAGGCAGGCAGCCAATGGCAGGTAGCCAACATGGCACTTGCAGGGTCAGCGGTCTGATTCGTGCAAGACAAAGCCACACAGATTCCTAGGTATCAATAGAAAGCTAGGAAGCATACTCATATTTACACTGATCTAAAACATACCTCTACTGGGTTACAAAACTGACAAGCACAATAAGAAATGCCAATCGCTGGTTGCAGGTGGAGGATCAGGCGATAAGACCAGTGGCCTTTACAGCTTTAAGTTAAACTACTAGTTACCCGTGGAACACCCTTGTGTGCAGACACAGACTAAATCCACATCGCTGGAAGGCGAGAGAGGCTTTGGCCTTGCCTCTCCCCCAGCCAATGAGCTCATATGGAAGTAGACTTGCAAAGCTCTTCTTTTTTCTTCTCTTTTTTTTAAACTTTTTTTTCCCAACAAAGCCTTGCCTCCAAGCAAAATATGAAGCCTGGGCAAAAGTGACTGAAGTTACTCGTACCTACCTCTTATTACTTCAACCCTCTCCTTTTTTCATTCTCTATGTTAATATTACACATTTAAAGACACGCAGATTTGTCTCTCCGGACTACATCCCTCAGAAGCCTTAGAGGTGTAGTTCAAGACCCCAAATCTCAGCATCTGTAGTTGTCATCATCATCATCATGGGAAAAAAACTCATTTGCTCATTGACCTCCAATAAAGTGGCCTGTACACCGATACTGTATTTGACCACATACACTGCATAAACTCTCATCAGACCATTATGCACACTAATACCTAGTTCCCAATCTAAAGGAGGAGAGAAAGAGAAATGTAGTGACCTAGTGAATATCCCTCATCCCCCGTGGTAGAATGGCACACTCTAAAAGGAGGGGGAAGATGTCACCATTCTGAAGACAGGCCGTCCACTGGCTCTGTTTAGCAAACAATCCTGTCACGGACCACATTCTGACCCACGCCATGTGCAGACATGCTCTCTTGCATCTCTCATGACAGCCTCCCCATGCTCTCTCTTTCTACTGGTGTTTGGTGATTAGAATAATGGACTAATAATAGGGAGGTTCTCATTTCAAATGATCCAGGAAGATCACTGGATGGCCTCAGGTCTGGCACCCTCTCTCTCTCCAGTTGACTCATCTTGGGAGTTTTTACAAGGATACGGTGGAGAGGTACTGAGTTGAGGAAAAGGGGCATTTAAGAAAATAATCACCCACAAGCACGTTCCCATTCTCAAGGTCTAAGAAGTTGCCACTAGTAACACAGTAACATGATGATGAATGTATTTGCATGTTCAACTGTGCCATCCACATGCTGAGTCCATACAAAGGGAACGGTCAGTTTTCAAAGAGGACCATGGGCAAAGGAAACCAGGCTCATAGCAGAGAAGTTAGAATCAAGAACAACCTATGTTACAGCAGAGATTTCCCCCAACGTAGCAACTTCCAGATGTGCTGCACCACAACCGTTCACTGGCTATGTTGGCTGGGGATGATGGGGAGCTAGTCCATTCACGATGGGGGGGGGCTGCTGTAGCTCAACTCTTAGCCATGAGGCTCCAATAGTTCCCCCCTAAGAGTTGCCGCATAAATGTCTACAGAAGAACATTCCCATGAGGCTGCACCAAAACCACAGCATTCACTCCCCCCTTCAAAGGCTTATCCAGCACTGTTGTAAGATAACAAGACTTCATTGGACAGTTGTTAACTATTCCAGAGTTGCCAGCCAGCACTTTACAGCTTAAGTTGTCTTTAATGTGATCCCTCTGGAAGAAGGATCACATTGGAAAATACTAGTAGCCATCACGGCATTAGATGACCTCCAGTATCAGAAGCCTGTTTCCCAGAATCCTACCCTACCACCTCATCCTGGCACGGAAGATCACTGCGCATTCTAAAAGGCTATGCCGTCAGCGAGGAAGTGGTGGTAGGCTTAATCAAACTGGTAAAGCAATAAGTGTGGCCCGGTGGCAGAGAACGTATCTAGCTTAGGACACCAGACACAGCTATTATGTATGAAAAAGCTCACCACCAGAAGGCTAGTCATCAAGAGACGAACTGGCCACACAAACTATGAATGCTGTGATAGCATAAAATGACTATGAATGGCATCAGTAGAGGACAACAAAATCACGGCTCTCCTAGGTATACTGAGCTACCAGTTTCTGGAAGAGAACAAATTGAGAGGGACTCAAAGCTCCCATCTTGGCTGCAGGCTATTCAGAGGCTTCTGGATGGCCATGACGAGAAGCCCAGACACAGCTTTGGTCTGATCAAGCATCACAGCCCTGCTCATGTCATGATGAAGTGAGAGCCACTTGAAAACCCAGAGGAAAGTGGAGCATGAAAAGTGTTTTCTAACTTCAATGGAAGTCTTGTCCGCTCCAGAAACCCAATACATACCACGCCCTAGGGAAGTCCACAAGCAACCCATGAAGGTGGCAGCAGCCTCCTCTTATAGTGGTGCCCCGCATAGCGACGTTAATCTGTTCCAGATTAATCGTCGCTATCCGGAAACATCGCTAAACGGAACAAAAAAGCCCATAGAAACGCATTAAACGTCGTTTAATGCGTTCCTATGGGCTTAAAACTCACCGTTGAGCGAAGATCCTCCATAGCGGCGGATATTTTCAGTGCCTCTAAAGCGAGGCAACACAGCGGGCGGCCATTTTGGAACCGCCGATCAGCTGGCCAAAAATGGGGCCTTTGGCATTTTCCCCCAGCTTAGCAGCAGGAGCTGTCTTTAATGTGATCCCTCTGGAAGAAGGATCACATTGGAAAATACTAGTAGCCATCATGGCATTAGATGACCTCCAATATCAGAAGCCTGTTTCCCAGAATCCTACCCTACCACCTCATCCTGGCACGGAAGATCACTGCGCATTCTAAAAGGCTATGCCGTCAGCGAGGAAGTGGTGGTAGGCTTAATCAAACTGGTAAAGCAATAAGTGTGGCCCGGTGGCAGAGAACGTATCTAGCTTAGGACACCAGACACAGCTATTATGTATGAAAAAGCTCACCACCAGAAGGCTAGTCATCAAGAGACGAACTGGCCACACAAACTATGAATGCTGTGATAGCATAAAATGACTATGAATGGCATCAGTAGAGGACAACAAAATCACGGCTCTCCTAGGTATACTGAGCTACCAGTTTCTGGAAGAGAACAAATTGAGAGGGACTCAAAGCTCCCATCTTGGCTGCAGGCTATTCAGAGGCTTCTGGATGGCCATGACGAGAAGCCCAGACACAGCTTTGGTCTGATCAAGCATCACAGCCCTGCTCATGTCATGATGAAGTGAGAGCCACTTGAAAACCCAGAGGAAAGTGGAGCATGAAAAGTGTTTTCTAACTTCAATGGAAGTCTTGTCCGCTCCAGAAACCCAATACAGTGGGGTCTCTACTTAAGAACTTAATCCGTATTGGAAGGTGGTTCTCAAGTTGAAAAGTTCTTATGTTGAATCTGCATTTCCCATAGGAATGGACTGAAAACCAATTAATCCGTTCTGGCTGTTTTTTTTGTTATGTAGAGGTGCGTTCGTACATTGAAGCATTAGTTCCTATAGGAACTAATGCTTCAATGTACGAACGATGCTCTCTCTTTCTACTGGTGTTTGGTGATTAGAATAATGGACTAATAATAGGGAGGTTCTCATTTCAAATGATCCAGGAAGATCACTGGATGGCCTCAGGTCTGGCACCCTCTCTCTCTCCAGTTGACTCATCTTGGGAGTAGCAGGAGCTTCGAAGCCCCGCCACTCACCTGGGGAAAAATGTCAGCAGTCGGTCGGCGGTGGCTTTGGAAGGACCCGGAAGCCACCTCCGACCGCCAACATTTGCCTTCCGAGTTCTCAAAGGGCGTTCCCATTCTCAAGGTCTAAGAAGTTGCCACTAGTAACACAGTAACATGATGATGAATGTATTTGCATGTTCAACTGTGCCATCCACATGCTGAGTCCATACAAAGGGAACGGTCAGTTTTCAAAGAGGACCATGGGCAAAGGAAACCAGGCTCATAGCAGAGAAGTTAGAATCAAGAA